TCCACGGTCCCCTCTGCAGGGCTACACACACACACAGCCAGCGCTCCCCCCCACGGCCCCCCCTGCGGGGCAACACACACACACAGCCAGCGCTCCCCAGCCCCCTCTGGAGGGCTACACACACAGCCAGCGCTCCCCCTTTCCCCTCTTCCACAACACATGCTTCTCTTTACCTTGAGAATGCTCCCACTCCCATAGCCCCCCAATCCCATCCCCCCTCAGGGCTACACACAATCCTTGTGCTCCCCACATACACAACCTTGCAAATGTACACACACCGAGCTCCTGTGTTCCTTCCCCAGTGGGGCTACACACCCCTGGCTGGGCTTCCTCACCTCTGGACTCCCCCTGGGCTTCCTCCCCCTGCTACCCGTGTACATGCATGCCTGCTGTGCCTTCCCACCTGCCGGATCCCACAACCCCCACACTTTGTCCCCCCGACCCTGCAGGGCTCCATACACCCCCCCCTGTGCCCACCTGCTCCCTGCTGCTGGTCCCACACTAGCCCCCATGCTCTCCCGCCCCCTCTGCCTACGTAAAGTCTTTTGTAATAACTTCTCCTCCCCCCTTTCCGTCTAAAGGGCTCTTTCCGTAAGGGCCTTATCTGCTGGACTCTCATACCCTCTATAGCGCCAAGGGACTTATCTGCAGGAATGGCCTCCCTGCCCCCACGCACCTGTGCCCCACACAGGGGGGATGTTTCCCTTCCCACATGCATGCACCCACTTCTGCCCTCCCCCGACATACCACTCACATGCAGGACCCTTCCCCCAGATGGGTCATGCCAATAGGGGCGTTCTGACAGGGTATGTTTGAACAGGGAGCTGCTGTGCAGACAGCACTGCCAGGTGGGGAAGGCTGTTGGGAAGACGGAGCTCAAAGCATGAGAGTAAAATGCAACGGGGCTTGAACAGAGCCTCCTTCTATCTGGGTCAATACCCTCCAGAGAGACCTGTCAGGCCTGAGTGGTTTCTTTCCTCACCCCACTCACACTCCAGTTAACACTGGGGATATTTAAAGTATGGTTGGAGAGGGAAAAAATCTCAGGCCTTCCATTTAGGTATCTCATTCTTCACAACCCCCAAAGCAGTTACCATAGCCTTTCTCTATGCTCCCCTTAATATAAGGAGAGATTGGGGGCGGGGAGGGTATTAATTAAGAATCAGCAAAGGAATATTAATAACAAGTTCTTATACAGCCCTTCTCATCCATGTGTCTCAAAGTGCTGTACAAAGGAGGTCAGTATGATTAGATTTTACAGGTGGGGAAACTGAGGCACAAGGAGGGGAAAGTGTCTTTCCAAAGTCCACCTAACAGGTCAGCATCAAAGTCAGGAATAGAGCCCATATCTTCTGCCTCCCAGCCCAGAGCTCTGTCTTCTAAGCCACGCTGCCTCCCTTTCCAAAAGAGGAAGTGATCTCTTTGCCAGGCAGCTTTCAGGGCCAGCCACGCTGCAGGTCCCTGGCTCTTACAGACTGAAAGCTGTTTGTTTTTGGCTGGTCATACTCCAGCTTCTTCTCCTATTGCAACATCCTTTCTTGACTTCTAATGCATTTGAATAATGTAGAAGTTGTAGCTGTAACAAGAAAATACGTCTTCCTAATTGGCTGTGTGGGCAGATGTATGGGTGTTCAGCAAGCTCTAAAACCTGACCTGCCTGACACTTGCATAGCTAAGCCACTCCAAAGGATGTTATTCATAAGATACTGTTCTGTGGTGGTTAACGAGGAGACACAGATGTGGGCATCTAATCCCTTACTACCTCTCCATCCTCTGTGTAGGATGCAGTTATGCCATTAAGTGGGTTTAAGCAAGTGTTATTTTGATGTCCTAAATATATTTGGGAGAGGGGTGAAGAGGATTGGGGGGGCGGTCGCGAGTGTCAGCTGAGTGAAAGGGGCTGATGACATTTGTAATTCAAATTCAGCTATGCGTGGGCAGACCCCTGCACCTATGTAAAATCCCATTGACTTCAACTTTTTATGTGGGTAGACATTTTTCATGCTTATCTGCCTGTTAAAAGCTGCTGCAGCTTTTTATGGGTAGTTGAAAACACTCCAGAATTTTGGAAACCTACCCAGGTAAGGGGGTGGAAATAACCAGAAATAATTTTGTTGGACTCAACAAAATATACAAGAGGCTTCTGATGCAAGTGTGAGGCCTGACCTCTTAAGTTCTGTTAAATTATGAGCAAAACATTGCTTTAACCCTGGAAAGATTTTGGACACTCATCCAAATGTGATCTGATTGTGATGGATGAGGCATTTCATTTCTGCTGTCTGTTTTGTGCTTTGTAAATGGCCTGGACAAAGGAAAAACAGGGCAGAGATTTATTTGGAGAGGCCTAGTGGCTGGAAACTGAGACTCAGGACACTTGGGTTTTAGTCCCAGCAAGTCATTTCCTCTCCCTATGCCTCAGCTTCCCCATCAGTAAAATGGGGATAATGATGCTAACCTCCTTTGTAAAGCACTTTGAAATCTACGGATGATAAGCTCTAGATAATATGATTATTTTGCAATGATGGGGGCAAACTGGAACTTTTTCCAAACATGTCCTCCCCAGGCCCCTGAATTTTAGCTGTTTGTATTATAATGGGTTGGGGTCCAGGTCACACCCAGCTACTTTGGCTGGTCTCCAGTTGTTATTCAGCTCTCCCGTTGTACGTTGTTGCTGTGTATATCAGGCACACTAAGTTGTGTGTGTCTGTATTATAGTTGCCTGGGAGCTTGGACTTGTGTGGCTATGTGGTATAACTGGGACTTGTAGCAACATGGCAGTCGTTTTATAAAAGAAAGTATTTTATTTATTTTTGTTTTAGTGCCTGTGTAAAGTGCTGGACTGACACTCCTGGATGCTGGAGACCTCTCTGTCCCTAGATCAGGTATGTAACACTTCATAGCAATGCCATCTTCCCTATGGTTCTCTGTTCCCCCCCCCCCCTTCTTCTGCACTGAAGGGACCTCCTCTAGGAGCGAACAAGCAATTCAGTTTCCATGCTGATGGCTCTCCATCCTGGCAAACTGAACATTAGCTCAATTTGTTAATTTCTGAAATGGGTCTCTAGGAAAACACTAAACAAGAGTTAGGCTTCGTGCTGGATGTTCACGTTGCTCAACTGGAACTTAATGACACAATGGCATGGCACTGTCTTGTGTCTAGGGAATGTTGAACCTGAGTGTCAACAGTTATGGTAATATTTGCATCATTGTTATTTAGCAGTAGCAGCATTGCAGTGCACAAAGGCCCCAGTTAGCATCAGGTTGAGCTACACAAAAGTAGACTTGATTTCTGCCCTGAAAAGCTTACAATCTAACTTGAAAGAAGACTTATCAAGTGACTGCAAAGAGAAGGAAAATGTTAATAAGGTCATGTGGTTGCATTGGTCAACTGTGCACCGTTGGATGGCTCCATATAGAGTATCTGGAACCTTCCCCTCCTGACTGCTGCACAACCTTATCCATCGTTGGTTGTAATATAGGCTTATACTATAAAGGTTGGTAACATATGCAGGATAATGACCGAGAAAAGTAATCATGCAAGATTGAACAAAGAACCACCAAGGAATCGTCGTTGTACCTCCTCCGTAAAATGAGAATAAGCAGCTATTTGACAAAAGTAGGAAACTTTTTATAAAATATACATTGATCTGCAAAGTTCTTAATCCCATTCCCACATCTCATGCTTAAAGGTTGGGGCCTGAAGGACGACAAGGTATTTTCCAATATAAAAATCTTTGTTTTAAAACTTGTATTGAAATAGCAGTTTGCTTGTATTGTTTTCACTGGGCGATTTCTTTTTTGGAGTATATTTGCTAGCACACTAAAAGGCAGCTGTCTGAAGTGTCCCCTGTGTCCCGTTCTTCCAGAAACATGCAACATGGCAGCAGCCATGGAAACTGAACAGCTGGGGCTTGAAATCTTTGGAACGGCTGAGAGCGAGGAGCATGCTGAGGCCGAGGAGCAGCCGAAACCGGAACCCTTCTATGTAGAGAGATATTCCTGGAGTCAGCTTAAAAAACTGCTCACAGACACTAGGAAATACCATGGCTACATGGTGGCCAAGGCTCCTCATGATTTCATGTTTGTGAAGAAAAATGACCCCGAAGGACCCCATTCAGATAGGATCTACTATCTGGGTAAGTTGCTAGTGCAACCCATGTCTTGATTCAAACCCAGACAACCTCAGTGGTGGTTTTAGTGTTCTTCCTGTGAATAAAATGTATTGGACAGCAAAACCAGAAGGCCTCGTTATGGGCTTGATGCTAGAATTGCTGGTCAGACTAACCGATCGTCCTGGTCCTTTCAGGCCTTAACATTTGGGGGGGGGGGAAAAATCTCCCAAAGGAAAGCAGGGAGGGTGGTGGAAACGTCATCACTTGGGACTCTTAGAACTGGACAAAGACTTAGAAAGTGTTCTTTAGGGGACAACCCTGCACTAGCTGGGGAGATGGAGTATCTGCCCATGGAGGTCTTTCTGGGCTGATGTCTCTCACTGTTATGGACTTGATTCTATTGAAAATAAGTTTGATTTCTGCCCCCCCCAAAACACTGGTAGAACTTGATCTGTTTTACCTATTTGCTTGCACCCTGGTGGAGGGGGAAAAGAGCAGATCTGCATGTTGGCCTCCTAAAAAGAGAAATTGTAAGCGTAATTTTCAGACACCTCAATGCCACTGTTACAGATGGAGCATATTTTCCAGGGGCATTGGGAGGATATGCAGTAATGGGGGCATATATATTTACACAAATGAAATGCTTTGTTTTTCCTGGGGTTATCTTTGGCTTCTCTAGTGAATGGATGTATTCAAATGGTTATTCTTGGCCTCTTCTTCTCACTCATTTTTACTAATTGTGGTTCGCTTAACCTGGGTAAATCTGGGGTTCTAAGTCAATGCTGTGCCAATTTTAGTACTTCCATGTGATTTTTATAGTGTGAAAGGTACTGCAGGTGATGGGGGCAGGGCTTAGCATAGGGGGCGGGGCTTTGTGGTATCTGAATGTTTCTGTCCAAAAGCCACAGTAGTAAACATGAAAAATCCAGTCTGTGGGGAGAGGAGAAGCCCTGTACAGAGAACAGGGAGCCAGAGCTGAGTTCTAACTTCAGTGCTTGCTTCTTGGGAAAGTCTACACGGGGATAAGAACCGGTGGCTGGCCTGGATCAGCTGACTCAAGCTCATGGAGCTCAGGCTCCAGGGCTGAAAAACTGCTGTGTAAACACTTGGGCTCCAACCCAATGCCAAAAGTCCAAACAGCAATTATTAGCCCTGTGAGCCCACATCAGCTGATTTGAGCCAGCCACGGCTCTGCTGTGTGTTTCTTATTCCTGTGTAAATGTACCTATAGAGTCTGATTAGCAATTCAGAATGCATGTGTGGAACCTCATTGAAATCCATGGAGTGCCACATGGGGGCACAGTCTGCCCACACGCTGATCCAAGACCTGAAACTGATGATCTGTCCCCCTCAGTTTCCCCACTCATAAAATGGGGGTTAGTAACATTTTAACTGGCCTTCACAGCGCCCCTGTGAGGCAGTTTAATGGACACGGTCAACTTGAAACTTCATCCATTTATAGCAATACTTTTAAAGGAATTGTTAGAGATTGAGCAGGAGGACCCAGAGGCAGATTTAGTAAACGGGCTTCTTTATTGTGGTACTTGTTCCCCTCGACCCAATTGTCGAGTAAGCACTGAGTTCATCACATCACACTCTTTTATCTAAGTTAATTTGTAAATACCCACATTTACTACAATGCCCCCCAAACCCTTCTTTAATAATATGAACGCCCATATAATGAATATTAATAGCTATATACTGAATATGATTAGACCTGCCCCTGTTTACAGCATTAAGCATATGATACAGACATTTTTACCTTGAAGATGCATTTCTTTGCAGTAATTGTAGCCACAAGTTCCCTTAATCAGCAGTTCGCGGGGAAGGGAGGAAGGGGCCATGACCCTGAACTCATCTATGTAGCTGGGAAAGGAAGGGAGGGGGAGATAACACTTCTTTACTCAAAGGGTATTCTTTAGCCACCCACATTCCTTATGCAGGTGCAATGCTTATCAGTCCTTAACAAGCAGAAGGGAAGGGAGAGGGATGGCAACTTTATCAAGCAAAGAAATAGTGCCTGCCGGTGCCTACTCCCTATTACCATGATAGCTGTTTTCCAGGTCTTTCCTTAACCCTTACATATCCCAACTGTCATGTCAGGAACTACACCTACCCTGCTGCTCCTTGTAGTTTTACTATCACATTCTTTTATATATTTAAAAGGTATATACCTTCCTCTGTTGTTGCTGTGTGAAAAACCCACGCAAATAACGGGAAAGCATCCCTCTGAAACAGAGGAAGGCGAAACTGACTAGTTACAAAGTAAACAATGAAAAATAAAGAGAGAAATTGTTCTTTCATGTTGGAGAAATCTCATGGGCTCCTTTTAATAAAAGGAGGTAAAAAATGTTCAGGCAGAAGAGTGACTGTTATGTTGAAAGTGATTCGTAAACAGGTCCAATCCTTCTGCTAATCAAGTCAGTGGCAAAACTCCCATTAACTTCAGTAGGAGCAGGAGTTGGCCCCAAAGGTTGTAAAACATAGAACCATAGAATATTAGGGTTGGAAGAGACCTTAGGAGGTCATCTAGTCCAATCCCCATGCTGCAGATTAAAAATGTGCTGATTTGTTTTGTCTAACAAGTGTACTTTTTGGGGTCAGGGAGAAACCCCATCAAATGGAAACCCCCTCATTTGAGGTATGTCTACATTGCAATCAGGAGCTGGGATTGCACCACACATAGGCATAGCCGAGCTAACTTGCTAAAAACAGCAGTGTAGCCACAGGCTAGCCACCTGAGTACAGTCCTGCTTCAGACCCTAGGTATGTACTCAGGCAGGTAGCCCATGCCACCACCTGTGCAGCCGCTGCTAGACTCCAGTTTTTAATGAGCAAGCTTGAGCATGCCTACGCTTGCTGTCCCAACTGCAGTGTACACATACCATTTGAGGCAAGGGGCATGACTCTGTAATCCAGCAAAGAGCTTTTAATAATTACAAAGCCCAGCGGCTGGAGATTGATTTTGAAATGTCCATCAGTAACCGGTCCTGAGAATGTCAGTGTCCTAGTGGCAGCATGCCTTTGTGCTTGGTATGGTGCCTTGTTCCAAAACTTCACCTACAGTCCCCTCCTCCTCTTCTGCTTGCAGCACCTCCCCCCACCATCCCATGCTGTGAGCGAGGCTGCAGTGTTTCAGTGGTTCCCCCTTAGGAAGGCAATTGCTTATGCTGCTGTTGTGTCTTTTGGCTTATCTTTATCAACTCCTGGGAGAGCATTTGTCATACTTTAATAACGGGGAATGAATCCTTTTTTCCTTTATAGCCATGTCTGGCGAGAACAGGGAGAACACGCTGTTCTATTCGGAAATTCCCAAAACCATAAACAAAGCTGAAGTCCTAATGCTTTCCTGGAAACCCCTTTTGGATCTCTTTCAGGTACGTGAACATGATGACACCTTCTTTCCCTCATGGCAGGCATTCATGCTGCTCAGGCAAGCTGGAGTTATTGCAGTTGTGAGCCACCGACAGGCTGTGCAGTGAATGTCTTAAGGTCTTAAATGTTTTTACTTTCCCTCATGCTTAGCTAAGCTCTTTACTGTTAAATTTTAAAAAGATCTTGTCTTGTCAACTTGTCTTGTCAACTTTAGGAATTTTGTAGCCTTTTGTAAATCATAAAAATATAATCCTATTCTGGATGGTTTCTGCTCCCTCTGCAGGGGTTGCAGTTGCTGCATGTAGCTTCCAGCAGATCTGCTGCAGTAATTTTTCTGAAAGAAGAGCAAGGGACTTATTGTAGAAGCCTCACTTCTAGTGAGTCCAGGTGACTTCTGACTATACAGTCGGTTTAAAGGTGTCACAGCTTTTGCCTTCCCCAAAATCCTCCTCTACCTGTCTACTGTATGGCTGCTGTGTCAGCTGCAAGACTACAGTAGCCTACCGTGAATACCATGCAGGGGAGGGGGTTATTGATCAATTGATCCATATACTTGATCCCCCAACTGCTTCTGGTCCTCATGTTGGACTTTCGAGCTATACTCAGTAGTGCACAGGTGGTATGTGCCCCTTATGTGGTCTCCCTGTGTCTTGTCCTTCCCCTCAGGAAACCTGCAACAGACTGCTGGTGTGGAAGGGTGGCAGGACTTGCCCCTGTGGCGTTAGCTATGATGTGAGCACCCTGGATGTTACTGGTCTGTCCCCTCATGAGGCTGTAGGTCCCACTAAAAATTCTCCTGGTGCTCTCATCCCTCCCAACTAATCACTGTGGATCTTGGCACGAGTTAGTTAAACTCTGTTATTACTTTTCCTCTCTAGTCACCGCAGACATTTTTAATTCTTTTACAGCAAGTTCTGTTTGCCTCGTAACCATCGAGCTGCCAGCCGGACATGCCTGGTGTGTGGACCTTGTCTGTATAGCAGCAAAGCACCCACTAATGATTTGCTGCAAACAGAAACCTACTCTCACTAGGCTTTTGGGTCTGGAAGCGAAAATGGACAAACCGTGCAGCTTTCCGAGCGCCATTCCTGCCCAGATTGCGTCTTTCTCCTTAGGCAGAATCTCCCTTGTAAACCTAGAGCTCCCTCGGCATTTCCAAACGCTTGCTCATTCTAGCACCTGGTCCGTGCACACAGTTGCCTAATTTTAACCAAAGGGGGGTGAGTTTTAAACTGATTTAGTTAAATTGGCGCAATCTTGTCTGGATACTCTTTAAAATCATTGAAATTTGGCTTATATTGGTTTAGCTTGCCAGCTGTAAGGGCAAGTAAAACCAGTGTAACCAGTTTGTGTGTCCACATTGAAACTTGCAACAATTTAACTAAATCTCCACAAGAAAGTTGCACTGGTGTCACTTAGTGTGAATTTAAACTGATGTCATTAACAGGCTCTATGGATGCTCTTATTTTGGCATAAGAGCAACTTACTTTGGTTTTGCTTAAATCAGGGGTGGCCAACCTGTGGCTCCGGAGCCACGTGCGGCTCTTCAGAAGTTAATATGTGGCTCCTTGTATAGGCACCGACTCCGGGACTGGAGCTGCTGACGTATTACTGTGGCTCTTTGGCAATGTACATTGGTAAATTCTGGCTCCTTCTCAGGCTCAGGTTGGGCACCTCGGCGCAAATTGATTAGAAACAGGTTTTTTAAAAAAAAAAGAGCTATTCTTGTACTGAACTAAGTGTGTCCAGACAGCCTTTCTGCACCAGTTTAACTGTGTTTAGAACAATTCAAGTTATATAAGTGCAGCTTTCTCATGTAGGCAAGCCCTAAGTCAAACCAGTGCAACTTGTGTGTAGGCCAACCCAAGGTTATTTTTGGCTTCCATCCTTCCTTTGAGAAATCAGATCTGAAACCAGCAGGAAGGAACATTCTGCTCTCTTTTCCTGTTCATTGGCTCAAAGGGTGTATGTATAACTCCCGGGACAAAATTGGCCCATGTCTGCCCATGCCCCGACACCGGGAAAAGGTAGCGCAGATCCTACAAAGGAAATGGCTGCATCTACGAGGGACATCACGAACATTTGTTACCCTGGTTCAAATAAGATCCCCAAAGACTGTTGCAGAGAGACTTCCCAGACAACTAGGCATAAAAGCCAAAGGGGCACTATCTGCTCCTACCCTCCTTTCCACCCAAAGGGGCACTATTGATCAGACTCTTACCTCTACCTTGTATCAGCAGGACTTCTGCTCAGACAGGGCCTTACTCTGCTCTTGTTCTCCCTGGTGTAAATTGGGAATAACTCCATTTAAATTGGTAGCGGAATTACAGCCGGCTTTACAATGATGTGAGATCTGAACCTGGCCCAGAGTTACTGGTACGAGGACAGAGACTCAAGAATGAGCAGGCTGCTTGCAGCCACTGGGATTCTCATTGGATTAACACGTTTCGTTGTTTGCCAGAGATGCTACTCAAGCAGCCAGCCATCTTTGGCTCTTTGGTGCCAGAGGAGATGCTTTCTGTACATGAGGATACCAAGTAAAAAGTAGAGCAAGGCAGATGATTTCTCCTCTCTTCCTATTCAGGCTTCCCTAGACTACGGGATGTACTCCCGTGAAGAAGAATTACTGCGAGAGAGAAAGCGCATTGGGACAGTCGGAATTGCCTCTTACGATTATCACAGAGAAAGCGGCACCTTTCTGTTTCAGGCTGGCAGTGGAATTTACCACGTAAAAGACGGCGGCCCTCATGGGTTTACTGTGAGTTCATGCACATTGCTAATCCTCATGTAAATGTACTGTGTCAGGAATTTGTTTGCAGAAGAGTCAAGGCAATGAGATTTGTAGATCAAGCAGGCAGCTATGGATGCACTAATAATGCTGAGGGTCACTGAAATGAGTTCTAGAGATCGAGGGGGGAAATCACGTGAAGTCGACTGCTAGTAATGTTGAGCAGAAGGGAGAAGAGGAGAAAGGAATGTGCATAGTAGCAGTCTCCGGATTTATGATTTAGTGTAAGAGTCTTTCCGTGAAATTACTTGTTACAAGGTTGCTACTCATTAGATTGGGCTGCAGAATTGAGAAGAGAACTTTGTGAAAGAGCAGCTGGGGTCACTGCCGCCTAAGTGCTGAAGCTGGACTCCGACTTCCAAGCCAGAGTAATTTCTTTTTAATATAACCCATGCCTGATGTCAGTCTAATCGTATCCTCTGATGGATGCTGCTGCATTCTCAGTGGGTTTAGCGAATGAGGCTATTGCGTGCTTCAGCCAGTTCATCCATCAGGGTGCAATTTTTTAAAGTGCACTGAGCTTTTGTAAACAAGCTGACTTTCTGCTAGTGCTGATGAAAGATGTCTGTCTTAGGGGTGTTAGCGTGGCATCTGTGGAACCACTCAATAGGCACCGTGGCAGCAGAAGCTTCCCTACTGACAGCGTGTGGGTATTTTATGTTTTTCTTGGTCAAAAAAGGTTGGATTCCTCTCACACTAAGCCCTAGCATTTGAATGCAAGTAGAAGTTGGCTACTGTACCTGCCAGTATCACTTGTATCTATACTTAATGGAAACCATCCATCTTTTTGGAGATGAACAGAATAACAGTTCAGCTCCTGCTGTCGGTGTGTTTTATATTGCTGTCTAATTCATCTTTTCTTCTTTTAAACAGCAACAGCCCTTAAGACCCAATTTAGTGGAGACCAGTTGTCCAAACATACGGATGGATCCAAAACTGTGCCCAGCTGATCCAAACTGGATTGCATTTATCCATAGCAATGACATCTGGATATCTAATATACTAACCAGAGAAGAAAGGAGGCTAACCTTTGTCCATAACGGTAATGCATGTTCAATTTACAATCCAGATCTTTAATCTCTTCCGCCGTGTGTGTGTGTGGGGGGGGGGGATATTCTCTAGACCAGTGTTTCCCAAACTTGGACGCTGCTTGTGTAGGGAAAGCCCCTGGCGGGCCGGGCTGGTTTGTTTACCTGCCCCATCTGCAGGTCCGGCTGATCGCGGCTCCCACTGGCTGCTGTTCGCTGCTCCAGGCTAATGGGAGCTGCTAGAAGCAGCGTGGGCCGAGGGATGTACTGGCTGCCGCTTCCAGCAGCTCCCATTGGCCTGGAGCAACGAACCGCGGCCAGTGGGAGCTGCGATCAGCCGAACCTGCGGACGCGGTAGGTAAACAAACCGGCCCGGCCCGCCAGGGGCTTTCCCTGCACAAGCGGCGTCCCAAGTTTGGAAAACACTGCTCTAGACTAAATTTGGCACTGGCATTAATGGCTTCTATTGAAATTCATGTGAGTTGGCCCTGTTATTCCAGGGCTGAATTTGGCCATCTGTATGTCACGTTCTCTCTTGTGTGTTTCTTCTGCTGGCATTGGGGAGCAATTCACTTCCATGTCCATGAAGTCTGGCAAGGTGGCTCATTCGCTGAATGCATCAGGGAAGCTTTTCTCATTGAACCCAAAGTTTTCCCTTTTTCCTGTGACTGCTTTCGTCAGAATGGAGGCGCTGTGAGCAGGGCAGAACTGGAGGAGAATTCCCACCAGTGACCAGACATGCTGCAAAGCTCTTGGAAGCGATCTAAAGTGCTTCTGACTTGCACACTGGCTTCTGCCTCATGTTCAGATAATAATTTATTTCTCTTCCTTTGCTTCCGCCCTCAACTGTATTTTACAGATATACCAGTGTATGACTTGGATGAAGGAACAGGGGAAATACTCACTTCCAGGGTGGTTAAAAATCAATTAAAAATAAATTATGTTTAAGAGTTAAATACATTCTTCTTTTTAAACGTAAGCCCATTAAATGTGAAACTGACAACCTGTGTTAAGGTCTTAACTTCCTAAAATCCATATAAATAAATAATGCTGCATTAATGAGCCCTCCTCAAATTTTAAATAGTTTAAGGGTGCTGCTTTTTCAATGATGTATGGAAGCAGGGGGAAAACACCTTTCACTTTTGAGGTCAACTCAAGCTTTATAAGTAAGGCCTGGTCCACACTAACCCCCCACTTCGGACTAAGGTACGCAAATTCAGCTACGTTAATAACGTAGCTGAATTCGAAATACCTTAGTCCGAACTTACCGCGGGTCCAGACGCGGCAGGCAGGCTCCCCCGTCGATGCCGCATACTCCTCTCGCCGAGCTGGAGTACCGGCGTCGATGGCGAGCACTTCCGGGATCGATTTATCGCGTCTAGACAAGACACGATAAATCGATCCCAGAAGATCGATTGCCTGCCGCCGAACCAGGAAGTAAGTGTAGACGTACCCAAAGTCACAATGTCATGCACTGCATTAGTATCTATATTATTTTCAGTCTTTACAATGGAATGAATGCTGATACTGTGTTTACATTTTTCCCAATGTAAGTGCTTTCAGTTTCTGTTGTGCAGAAAAGCTTTTGCCATAATCACTTTTGGTTTTAGTTAAGCTAGCAGGTGCAAAGAGAATATTTTCTTCATTAGTACTAGTTCATTCAAAGTTGAGAAACTGGTTGGAAGCTGAGAAAGCAGGAAGGCTTGTTTTCCTCTTCCAGTCAATTTATCCTGGGGGTGAGTTTGGCCAACGGTTGGGAAAACCCAACTTGGGAGTGTTTTTAGGTGCTGTGGCAGCAGAAAAGCTCAGCTCTTAGCTAACTCTTTCTCATGTTGCCTGTTCAGAATTGGCCAACCTAGAAGAGGATCCCAGATCTGCTGGGGTCGCTACTTTTGTGCTTCAGGAGGAATTTGATAGATATACTGGCTACTGGTGGTGTCCGAATGCTGAGCCAAGTAAGTATGCTAAATGTAGTCTGTCTGACACACATGAAATGTTGTCACTTTGGAGTGGCTCGCGGCCAGGAGTGCCGACCTCAGGGCAGACTGTCAAAAACAGGGCAGACACCCCAAACTGGTGGTACGTTCTATAATTAGATTTCACCAACCCAGTACTAAATGTGAGCTCTCAAAGTACTATAATAGTCTTACAATGGAGTCACAGACAGTCCCCTTAGACACTCCAGTCTAGCTTGCCATGCAGGTAAGCTGAACTATATAATAAATGGTCACTTACACCAAAAATCAGAAAATATTTATGTTACACCCAGTCCCAAGAGACCAGTCACTCACCCAGGTTAATTTGCATCCTAGATATAACATCAAAGACAACATTTGTGGCTAATTCTATAGTAAACTAACTAAAGGTTTATTAGCTAGGAAAAAGGAATGTTATTGAGAGGTTAAAGGAGGTAAAATATATATATATACACACACACACACACACACACACACACACACACAGATGAGTCACAGTCTATAATTCCAAATGATAACAGATGGAATAATCTGCCAGTTTCCCAAAAGTCTCTCAGGGCTGCCCAGAATAACTCTGGGATCTCCATCGTCTTATTCAGCTATTCTGCCCTTGTAGAATCCCAACCGTCCAGAGATGAAGAATTTTTTCGTGGGTCCATATTTATAGTTTCTTCTCACAGAAAACAAGTTGACAGTTTGGCTACCCACATGGGCTCTTTCTTTCATGATGGGAGAGTGAGGAATGCGTTTACAGTTATTGATCTCCCATCATCACACACAATGACCGCTTGCTTTGAAATGCACTGGAATTAGCACCTTTCCGCTATAGTCCTTCATTTACATTACTTGAGGCTTCTTTCTGTTTGATAAGTTACTCGTTGCAGGGGTATATACAGTGCAAATGTTTGCTGTTATATTCTAACGTGGGGTGTAGTTGAGTGAGAACAATACATGCGGCATCCTACAAGCATTTTATAGAACACTAAACACATTCTTGTCAACTTAACATCTAATATTTATTTTGATAATGCGAACACACAGATAGGCAAGACTGGTTTCTGACTATACGTTTGCCAGTGCTCAGTCAGGCCTGGGGCCTTGGCATGAGCTGGCACGTGGTCTGCCAGTGTCACAGACATTCTCTAGAAATTGGGTGGAAATGACCCCAGCGCCACTGCCTGCTTCTCAGCCCGCTTTCCGGTATGACCCTCTGTTTGTAACTTTGCAACAGTTTTCTGTTTAATGCATGATGCCCCAGACAAAACCATGATTTCAGAGGGGGAGATAAGCTCTTAAGGAATGAGGATTTGCTTTTAGACAAGTGTCCCTATAGTAATATTGGAGAAAAGAACAAAGGGCGGGAAGTACGTACAATATATAGCAGAGGGGCTAATCTCTCTCTGTTTTTCATGAGAGGTCAGCTCGTGCTCTGGACACGTAGCCTGGAAAGAAGAGATTTTTACTAACCCACGTGATAACAGCATTTGTAAGAGATTCAAGATTGTTTGGCGTAGTGAAAGGTCAAATACAGTTTACTGGATAGTTGGAGCATGTGGTATATGATATAGCTTCCCCACTAGTACCCAAAGGAACAGTATTGCTGTGTGCGATACATATGTTATTACAGCTGTGCTGAATGTGAAATGTATTTGTTCCTTTCTAGCTGTCACCGGAGGCAAAATTCTTAGGATTCTTTATGAAGAAAATGATGAGTCAGAGGTGGAAATTATTCACGTCACATCGCCCATGCTGGAGACCAGGAGGACGGATTCCTTTAGATATCCCAAAACAGGTGAGACCATTGCTGTCTTCTCTCCTCTTTCCCCCATCTCATCGCCTGGGACGCTCTCGTATTCCTCTTGTTTTATGGTAATGCCCCCCTAGCCTCCAAAGACAAGGTTGTATGAATGATGCTGCCCGTGTGGCTCCTTTAATTGACTGCTGTGCTTGTGGACGGAATATGTCTCCGGAAGCAGCCTCCACAGAGGTCAGACTACTCACTTGCAGCCATGCCAGCTTTCCAGCCACAATGTGATGTAGGTCCTAAGTTCACTGCTGAACCTAGGTCTCTTGTGAGTTGGCAACACACTGCTATGTCTTCCCTCTTTTGGAGCTGCTGTCATATGTTTATCTGACTGTGTGGCATTGCAACATCTCAGTGCGAACTCTGCAGAGTGATCACACGTGTTTCACTGAGGGTTTTGTATTTAGCAGCTGGCAGTGCACTAGTGATGTGGCATGGAGGTTAGGAGCATTAGATGCTCCTGGGCACTCTCCAGGACTAGACCTTTTCTGCTCAGAGCCTGGGCCACAAACTTTGTGTGCTCCTGATCCAATATTACAGCCAGTGGTCCTGTCCCTGCCCCTGGAATAGTAAGAGTATCCAGCAGCCAGGCTTGGGTTTTTATAGATGGTGTATTGCAGCAGGAGGGTGGGAAACAAATATCATTGGAGCACTGTGATATTTGGAAGTGGGTAGGCAGAACTGACACAGAGGCATGCTGAGAGCTAACTTACAGCTGCATGTGAAGATCATGCTGCAAGTCTAAACAGGTCAACACCTGTTCTGGAGAGCTGCTGCCTCCTCCTCTCCCTAAATCTCAGATGTGTCCCGAATTCCATGCCCTCCACAGCCAGCACGTTTAGGCTAATCAGCCGAAGAGCATTCTGTTCTTCGCTTTTTTCAGTTCTATATGAGCTGAATTTCGGAATTATTCGAAACATGGGTGTGTCCTCCTGGAGGCAAACACATTGTCTGTTGCACAGTTTGTGTGTGACTGCTAATGCCTGTCTGTTTTACAGGTACAGCAAATCCAAAGGTCACTTTCAAGATGTCTGAAATAACAGTTGATGCTGAAGGAAGAGTAAGTTTTAAGGTTCATTTATTTCCTACATTAATTTGACATTTATGACTTTTTATTTAATTAGTATCTCGTGTCAAAGCAAACAGACTTCTTTGATGCGCAATTGTCAAATTGTTTATCTGTGGATCAGTGTTTCAAACAGGATAGGCCCATTGTAGTGTCAGATACCTGGTGTGTATGTATATGTACGTACACACACACATTCACACACTGTAACTTGGTGAGGTTATTTCAGTATCACCGGATTGCTGTCCTCCTCTTCAACAGATTGCAGCTGTCTTGGATAAAGAACTAGTGCAGCCATTCGAGATCCTGTTTGAAGGAGTCGAGTATATTGCGAGAGCTGGATGGACTCCAGAAGGAAAATAGTGCGTATGTTAAACCTGTCTCTGCTTACAGGGGTTGGGTTAGAAATGGACTGTTCTGGGCTCTGTCTTTCCCTCTGGCCTAAGCCTGCTCTTGTTCATGCATCGCTCCACCCTGGTTTGAGTGAAGGGGATGGGGGCACGTCTTCAAAATCAAATAGAGTCAAAACAGTCTCGGGTACTTATCTGACTCCATCACCATAGTAGCTGAGTATCGCACAGTCTTTTCAATGTATTTATCCTCCCAAGCAGTGTTCCCTTGGATTTTTTTCCATCCGTGCGCGGAATGAATTTTGTTACGTGCACCAATATCGAGATCCTGTGCGGATGTGCGCCGTCAGTAGAAACAAAAGCCCTAGATATAATATGTATTTTTAATAAGTTACCATAGGGATAATTGCTCCAGCCAGGACAGGTTAGGCATTTTAGAACTCACTACTCAAAGAATTAAATTTAAGCATAAGAGAGAAATAAAATTATGAAACGCACAGACCAGTCGAAAAACTAAAATAACAGCACTTTGAAAGAATACAATGACTGAGAATATATGTGCCTTGCAGGAAGTACCAAAAAGTAACAACAATAACACACTGTTGGGAGGACAGTGTGTGTGTGTATATGTGTGAGAGAGAGACAGACTGTGTGTGCGCTGGCTGCTGGGGAAGTCTATGAGAGACCATGCGCTGTCTCTTTAAGCACCAGAAGGCTTGTTCAGACCGCAGCAGCTGCCAGAAGCGCTGTCCTGCTCCTGAGCCCTGTCCCCCCCACCCTGCTCTGCAGAGATGGGGTACCTGGGTGGCGGGAGGGGGACACCCTGACATCAGCAGCCCCCCTCTTCTCTGTACAGCAAGCAGGAGGGTCCTGGGAGCAGCAGGCCAGGGGCTTCAAGGCAGGAGCAATGTGGCTGCAGAGCAGTGGAGGGAGGGGCACCTGAACACACACCGCTGGATGTGCGCTCCTCTGCTAATCGAATGAGCGGCACTTGATTGACTCTTGGGCGGCCGTGTGGCTTAGAGGGAACCCAGCTCCCAATCCCCCTGAGAGGCAGGGCAGTGATAATATCCCCATTTACAGATTGGGAATTGAATGCTAGAGAGACTGATGACTTGCCCAGAGTCACAGAAGCAGTCTGTGGACGTGGAGAGAATTGAACCCAGGGCTCCCAAGTCCTAGGTTAGCACCTTAACCACTGGGCCATCGTTGCTGACCAAACTCATTGGCCAGAAACCCCACTGTAAGTGCTAACTACATTTGCATGAAACTTTTAACCCTAAAGACAAGGTGGTGCAGTGTTTCTAACTCACAAGAATTGTACTTATCCTACTTCTTGGATCAAAAGCTGACATTCTCCTTTTAACATTTTTTTTTAACATGGAAGAAATACAGGAGCCTGCTTCCTGTGTTGGTTGGCTTCCTACAGAAATGTTACCAAGGCTCCATGGGTAACTATGAACAGGCTGATTGGATCTGCTGGAGAGGACACTGTCGAGCCATTTAAGCTTCAGAATAATTTTTTTAAGCATCCAAGAAGACTAGAAATATCTTCACAAGTGGCTTTTAAATTTCAGTTTACGAACTTCTGCTTCCTCCTTCCCTTTAGATTTTTCTTTTCTTTGCTCCTATTTCCACATTCTGCCCTAAGCAGAATCCAAATCTGATAACATTCGAGCTAGTTGAGCTTTTGAAACCACAGGGTTTGAGTGGGGTTGAAATCAGGCAAAACTAGTTCTTCTACCCCTACTTCAGAGCTGACGTGATTCTTTGAAATGCTAGAGGGAAAATTCGTTTTACCTGGCCAAGGTTAAAAGTATCTTCTAACTGGATCTGAAATTGACCATTCTTGATGCCACCAAAATGCTTGGTGTTACTGAAAGTCAAATACAATTCTCTCAGCTGTCTAATACTTAGAAAAAATGCACTCATAATTATTAATATTTTTTTCTGCAATAGTGCCTGGTCCATCTTGCTGGATCGCTCCCAAACACGGCTACAGATAGTGTTGATCTCCCCTGCGTTATTTATCGCAGTAGAAGATGATGCTATGGAAAGACAGAAACTAATAGACGCCGTGCCTGACTCTGTTACGCCACTTATTATTTATGAAGAAACAACAGACATCTGGATAAATGTAAGAATTTTATTTTTAGACTCTTCAACAGTATGTGGTTATGGGCATTATTTGTGTCACTCTTAATGGCATTGATATTATTTGCATTACTGTAGTGCCTAGAGGGTGGAATCAGGATAAAGGTCTCCATTGTGGTAGGTGCTTTACAGACACAGAGGAAGACAGTCCCTGCCTTGAAGAGCTTGCAATGTAGACCAAATGTAGACCAACCAGGAAAAGGTTAGGAAAGCAGAGAGGGCAAATGATGTCCAAAGTCATGTGGCAGGACAGTGGCAGAGTTTAGACTAGAACCCATCCAGCACCCAGTCTAATAGACTACTCTATCTCTCAGCTTTGCATTAGATTAGACTCAGGCTCCTTAAGATTTCCTTAGATCTTTCACTGACAGCAGAGTCCGACAGACTGATGCTATTGGAGCACAGAATATTTTCTAGAATTAAGCACAAAACCAAAGAGCCCACATGATTATCCTAATCACAATTATCTAAAACCGTCCTTTTACCTAAAACAGAGTTATGTCCCTCTGTATCTATTAATCACATTGAAAATTCTCTCATTTATTAAAATTATTCACTGTGCCTCACCCTCTTACCTCTGTAAGGTTTGCTAATTGGGGCGGTCCTATATAATATGCTTACACTTGTACTACAGTCTGTAGAACCTCGCAGTGTGAAATGTATGAGAGATTCCGGAGCATTAGTGCAACACCATAAAAAGGGAGCTGCTTACAGCATTGCAGCAGTATGGCGCAGATGTAAGACTGATCTCCCTGAAATGCCATCTTCTTGGAACGGTCTACTCACAGTAGGACTTGGAAACATCACACACTGATTACAATTAGATCATTCAGCAGTGATCATGCTCTCTAACAGGGCATTTTAATGAACACTTTGTGTATAGCTGTATTCTCTTTGTGGTCATAAAATGAGACTTGCAATGTATAAAGATGTGTCTCTCACTTGCTCAGGGGCTGTGAGCTACACCAGTGGGCATATCGTCTCTTTTTTCCCCCCCAGCATGCTAATTGTTTTCCCACAGTGGTTCATACAGTTCAGCTGAAACCATGTGAATGCTCCTTTCCGCGTACCTAAAATTACTGTCCCCCAGAGGGCAAGCAAAAGGTGACTAACACCAGATCACCATTCTTCTCTGAAATAACCTTTCCCTTCCAGGGTCTGCCTTGCAGACTTCGAAATAAGAGGCCATTGAATATGGAACTTCTCTGCAGCTAGCATTCTGTCAGCGGCTGCCCACCTTCCTCTGCAGAACCCTCCAACTGCCTCCTGATCTGAGCAAGGGACTGCAGGGGAGAAAGAACTTGGTAGAGTTTTTTCTGTGGGCTGGCACTAAAGGAGTGGGATGGTGACAAGGACAGTGGAAAGCAAGACAGTGAGTGAAGACACTGGCTGGGCTTGCACAGCCCATGTGGCTAATGTACACAGCAATCTGCAAGGTAATCCATTGCAGGAGTGGTTCTCAAATTATGGGTTGTAGGTGGTTTTTGGAGCCCTTCCATCTGCTCTCCAGAATGAGACCTCTTGAATGAATGTGTGGGGATAGGCCCCAGAAAGGATCTTTCTCCCCTGGAGTGGTCCATAGAATGAAGTTGGGTGAACCCCTACACTACGGTATAACATGCATCTCCTGCACCTGTCTGTGCCGGATCAGTGAGAAGTAATAGTTGCACAGGAACTCCATTGTGGTCCAGGTCCTATCGATAGCCATGAACAAACTGCTTTGTTTCTGCAGATCCATGATATCTTCCATGTTTTCCCTCAAACCCGCCAAGATGAGATAGAATTTATTTTCGCCTCTGAATGTCAAACGGGGTTCCGGCACCTGTACAAAATCACCTCGGTTTTGAAGGAGAGCAGATACAAGCGATCGTGTGGCGGTCTCCCTGCTCCAAGTAAGCAATACCACTCTCTCTCTTTAATTGGGCACTTGCCATTGAATATTGGTGAAGTAAACTGCAGCCTCTTCCAGAGGGTAGGACAGATCTCTTCCTCCCTCCCTAGTGTAGACTGGCCCCCATCCAGCAAAGTTTTGAAGCATGTACATCATAATCATCATAATCCCTAGCTTTTATATAGCACTAGTCTCATGACATCACTGGGTCTACTCACTGGCTCAGCGTTGCCAGTATGCTTGTAGCAGGAGGAAGGATGGATGGCACAGATAATTCTATGTTCTGTACGTAACGGGCTTCATTTTAATCATGGTTCTTCTTAATTAACAAAGGGGGAGATTTTTCAGAGTCACAAATGGGAATTAAGTGATGGGCTTATTGACGTGCTGTCCTGGTCTTGCAGATGAACCAGTCTAGTAGTTATGTGGGTCATGTCCAATGAGAAATAAACTGCGTGAAATCTGGGGTCTCCAAGTAGTAAAACTCTTTGGTGTACAGGACTGTGCATGGACTGTTGGATGTAATGTGTAAAAATAACAGTCTCCTCTCTGCCTCTAGGCATAGATTGCAATGTAGAGATTTAAAGTCAAGAACACACGCTTACCACACTGTAGAAAGATGTGCCTTGGGTTTTATGCCTAGAAGTATTGAATATCTGATTGGGGCCAAAAATTGGCCGCCTTTTTAGGGTGGGGAAGGGAATAAAGACCACACCACTATACCCAGTGTGCTGGCCCTAACAAAGACTATTCATAGTGCTGTGTCTGTTATAGCTGCTGCTTGGACAGATGCGAACAGAATGTTGGGACCCATTAGGAAAGGGATCGATAATAAGAGGGAAAATACCATAATGCCCCTATATAAATCCATGGGTACGCCCACACCTGGAATACTGGTGTGCAGTTCTGGTCACCCCATCTCAAAAAAGCTATATTAGAATTGGAAAAAGTTCAGAGAAGGGCAACAGAAATGATTCGGGGTATGGAACAGTTTCCATGTGAGGAGAGATTAACAAGACTGAGACTGTTCCGCTTGGAAAAGAGACGACTAAGAAAGGATATGATAGAGGTCTATAAAATCATGAGTGGTGTGGAGAAAGTGATTAGGGAAATGCTATTTATCCCATTAGATAACACTAGAACCAGTGGTCACCCAATGAAATTAACAGGCAGCAGGTGTAAAACAAACAAAAGGAAGTATTTCTTCACCCAACGCACAGTCAACCTGTGGTGCTCATTGCCAGGGGATGTCGTGAAGGCCTAACGTATAACTGGGTTGAAAAAAGAATTAGATAAGTTCATGGAGGATAGGTCCCCACATGGCGATTAGCCAAGATACTCTGTGTGTCCCTGAGCCCCTGACTGCCAGAAGCTGGGGCTGGACAACAGGAGATGGATCACTCAATAATTGCCTGTTCTGCTCATTCCCTCTGAGGCACCTGGCATTGGCTACTGTCAGTAGACAGGATCCTGGGCTAGATGGGCCATTGGTCTGACCCAGTGTGGCCGTTCTTATGTTCTTATGGCAGAGAAATTAACAGAAGAAGAATACTGGCAGCTACTGCAAATGGAAACACAGGAACACGCAGTTTAAATAAAATAAAGTTACTTGCAAGGTTAGGTCAAACTTTGGCCCCAGTCAGGTGTACAATACAGTTATGTACAGAACCCTTGCACATCTTGCTACACTGTGTATTCTTTCAATTAAACTCCTATATTGCAATCTGTGCCTGGAGGCAGTTAGGATACTATTGATCTATTTGCTATGTGAGGACAGCATGCTCAGGCCTGCATACTAAAGAAAGATGCATCTAATTTTACTAGTTATAGTGTCCCAGTGTCAGGCAGTTGATTTTTTCAGAAGGCAAAATCCCCTTTTGAAATAAAACTCATTATTCCTATAGTGGTTAAAAACCTAGTACTGTTCTGTCAAGTACTAAACCTAGTACTATTGTGTCTATTGGTCTGTCTAGCCTGACTTCCTACCTCTGATAGTGGTAAATAGCTGATGTTTCTGAGGAAGGCAAGATTTCCGTTTAACATAAAGCTGTGTGTAATGTTGTTGGGGAAATTAGAAAACCTTGACATTTCAGAGTTTTACTCTTCCATTTGATTTTTGCAAAATCCTTCGACTTTGCAGCTTCACTCAAAATAGAACTTCTTTTTGAATGAAAGTGAGCCGACCTGATCAAAAATGGTGCTATTTTTTCCAGCAAAATCCCTCATTTTTAACACCTTCCCCTTACCAATTCCATAGATCAGGTTTCGCATATTTCAGTGCAAAACCTGCCTTTTTGTGCAAGTTTGGTGGGAAAAGGAAACATCGAAGGTTGCAGAACGAGATAGGGAGAAACTGTTGAATTGAGAATTCTTTGATATTTTTCCCGTATGTCAGTGATCTCTTCCTGGAACACTCCAGCCAGCTGTGTAATGCTACGCTGGAGAGTGGCAGGGGTGTGGTTATTTTTTTTTCCCCAACCCCAGTTTTTGACTAGGTTAAAGCAAGCAAAGCCTGAACGGTGAAGTTCTATTTGTAAGGCTTCATTGTGATGAAAAGTATAAAATCTCTAATTGTACGTGTCTTGTTTATAGGTGACTTCAAGTGTCCCATCAAAGAGGAATTAGCAATTACCAGTGGAGAATGGGAAGTGCTTGGTAGACATGGTTCCAATGTATGTCCCTTTATTTTACTTTTCTTGAATGAAGATCTGTATCTGTAAGATACATCGTCAGGCCTATGTGATAGCCTGGGTTAAACTCTGGGTTAGATAACAAACAAAATTAGTTGGGTCCTAAAGTCCCTCGTGGACCTTGTGGTTATCTTGCCAGACTATACAGCTACCCTCTTCTGACTAGAGAGGGAGTCAGTCAGGTCTAAGGAACAGCAAGGGCACGTAGTGGTAAGGATCTAGATAGAATGGTAGAGCTGTATGGAGGACGCCTCAGTTTGTCTGGTGTTACGCAGGGCTATATGATCATGATGATCCCTTCTGGCCTTAAAACCTGTGAATTTGATCTTGGCGTTGTGCCTGCCAGAACATCTCACTAAATGGGAAACAGCTCTGGGAACAATCTGGGGACTCTCTTCTTAGGGGAATGACCTCTCTCGTGCTGAAGGTTACACACTTGGTTCTGGAGGGTGGGGAGAAGGTGCAGGCTGGACACTCCTCATGTAGCTCTGCTCCTGGTGTCTTGGCCATGCATCCCACCCTTTGTGAGAGAAGAGAAGTGTCCATATTGTAGTTTCTGTGAAGGGCAGGATTGCTGAGAAAAGGAAAAGCTGCCTGGAATGGCTTGAGGTCTTTCAGCTGTCCAAGCCCATGCTGTGACCTTGCTGTTTGCTGAATAAAAAGTGCTATTCACAAACTCATTAATTTCACCGCCATAATCAGACCTCTCACATCAGAAAATTAACATGGAAATCCACATAACTGCAAACATATATGATGCAGCAGAGATGCAAGAGATGGTAGGGAATCTGGAAACTGAGTCACCCTTCTCTCCCGCATGGGGTGTCTCTTGAGGTCAGGTTTGGGGCAATATCGAGAAACCTGCCCAAGCTGTATTCATTCTGGGTTAAACTCACCCCTGTGCAAAGAGCCAGCGCAAAGGCTGTCCTCCACATCTGTCCGCCTTTCAGGACTAGGCACCACTCTTGGGCCACTAAACCCAATGGAAGGCTGTGGGTGGAGGGTAGGCCTTGTGTGGACCCTCTAGTAAAGAGGTTCATAATGAAGTATGGACCTGCAGGGAGGTGGAAAGGGGAGAGAAATAGCACTGCAAGTAGACGGAAGGAAAATTTCTAAGCATCCCATGAACAGTAGGATGGAAGGGCTGAAGCCCCAGCATCCAGCTGCTGTCCTGTATTGGAGGACTCTTTCCCCCCCCCCCCCAAAGGGATTAACACACACCGGGGCAGCACTGCTCTCTTTTCAGCTTTCGCCTCTTCTTTCTCCTTTTTCTGCAGGCCCAATAGTCGTGTCTCCAGGTCCACTTTTGAGGTTTTGCGTTGAATTCCTCCTGCTGGGATAAAATACCCACCACTTTATAATCACTTCTTTTATTAAATCTTAAAGAACTCGAGTGAGCGATGTCTGTGGTTACTCAGCTCTCAGCATGTTTCTCTGTTCTCTAAAACAATAAACCATGAGAGTGAGAACACTGAAATGAGTGATAGAGCTGAAATACTTGCAGTTTATGTAAGGGACGGCAGTCTTGGTAACGCAACGATTTCTGTTTGGAGACCGTTTTTGCTGCAGTTGGTGGTTGGGCCCCTAAGAAAAAATATACAACCACTCATTAAAATCAGTAGCTGTACTCTAGGGTTGGGGGGTAGCAAATGTCGTGCCTGTTTTTGAAAAAGATATATGGGGTGATCATGGGTATTATAGGTCAATTAGCTTTACTTGAGCACCAGGGAAATTGGTTGAAATAATTACTAAAAATAGTTACAGTACACCTGGATTAGCATGATTGGTGGTCTAACCAGCTTGGCTTCTGTAAAAGAAAACAGTTCTCCTCTGAATTACTAGAATTCTTTGAGTGTAAAATAAAAATAAAATAGTGGATCTGAGAGAATCCGTTGTTTGCACCTTCAAAAGGCCTTTGATAGAGGCCCTTCCAAGAGATTATTAAGGAAGCCAAGTAGTCATGGGGTGAGAGGTGAACTGTCATGGATCAGAAACTGTTTCCTGTTACATAGTCAAAGAGTAGGAAAAAATGGTCATTTTGTACCATGGCGACAGGTGCCCCCATGGTTTCATGCTGGGGTTGCTGTTTGTAAAATATATTTATTAATAATCTGGGAAAGGGAGTGAACAGTGAATTGGGGAAATTTACAGGTGACACAGACTTATTTAGGATAATCAAGACCAGAGAAAACAAGGAAGGTCAGAGGGACCTGACAGACCTGGGAAACCAGGTAGCAAATGAAATTTAGTGTTGACATGTGCAAAGTTGTGTGTATTGGAAGGGCTAATTTGAACTACATCTGTCCATTGCTGGGCTCTACATTAACTGTAACCACCTGGGGATATGGGGGCAGAGAGTCCTGGGCATCATTGTGCGGATAGCTCAGTGATTTGGCTGGTACAAACTGTGGTTGTGTTTGGGTTTTTTGGCAGATCCGTGTGGATGAAGCAAAGAAACTGGTGTATTTTGAAGGCACAAAGGATTCCCCTTTAGAGCATCACCTGTATGTCGTTAGCTACGAGAATCTCGGAGAGGTGAAGCGACTGACGGACCGTAGTTTCTCTCACGCCTGCTCCGTTAGTCAGGTATCTGTATTCCGTGGGACCCTCCTTTAGGAAAGGGCTGGGCCTGGTGGTTTTTGGCACGCCTTGCACTAGCTGTGTTCAAATATATGGACGTTGGCTTCAGCTTTTTTAAATCTGTTATAAAACCGCGGGTGCGGAGATGGGCATATATTAGCAACTGCAGAAACCTGACCTCTGGGTGTGCAACCTGGCGAATGGCATGAATCAGTGCCAACTTGCAGACATGGACTAATGCCACCGCTAATTTTGCGGGTGCATTTTTCAGTGTCTGGCAGAACATTTGGAATATTAACACCCTTGCGGCTACTATGCTGCCTGTAACTGAGTAAAACTACAGTTCCTATGGGCTGGTCTACAATGAGGGGGGGATCGATCTAAGATACGCAACTTCAGCTATGCGAATAGCGTAGCTGAAGTCGAAGTATCTTAGATCGATTTAGCTGGGGTCCACATGGCGCGGGATCGATGGCCGTGGCTCCCCCGTCGACTCCGCTACCGCCGCTCGCTCCAGTGGAGTTCTGGAATTGACGGGGAGCGCGTTCAGGGATCGATATATCGCGTCTTAACGAGACGCGATATATCGATCCCCGATAAATCGATCGCTACCCGCCGATACGGCAGGTAGTCTGGACGTATCCTAAGACTATCTCCTCTCTCACAAGAGCTGGAACTCCTGATTTTTATTTGATCCGAGCTTCTTCAGAGAGCTCTAAGTGCAAAAGTAAAGGCGCTTTGGGCTCGTGTTTCTTCACTGTGTTGTTCAAGAAAATATTGTCATCTCTGTGTAGGACTGTGACATGTTCATCAGTAAATTCAGTAACCAGAAGAACCCGCACTGTGTGTCACTGTACAGGCTGACTGCTTCTGAAGATGATGTTGCTCACAGAACGAAGGAATTCTGGGCCACGATTCTAGATTCGGCAGGTAATAACTTTGGCTTTCCTTTACAGTTCTGCCTCAGATTCCCAATCAAAAGACTTCCAGCTACATATTTATTGTAGTATCGGTACTCTGTGTTCCTCTCCATGGGCTAGATCATGCTGCTCTTACTCGTGTGGGAATATGTGACGAGTAAGGATTGCTGGATCGGCCTTTGGTTTTGTGCTGACGTGTGGAAGGGGTAGCTGGCCACAGTATTCGAGTCTGTTACAAGTTTGAATGTATTGCTGGGCCTTATCAACAAAACACTTGTCTTTTTGTAAGTGCTGTTCCAAACCATTTGAAGGGTACAGGGCTAATAGGACGTGTACTTGGAAAACCCTTAGATTTGAAGGGGGTGTCCCCACCAGTTTTGTACCTTGTGGTGGCCAAAGGCTGCTTTTGATTTTGGAGCTTGTTGCAGATAATGATGTGCAGAGTTAGCTCCTGGGCTGGTTAACAACCTTCATGGCCAAGTGGCATTTAGGCGATGAGTTAAAATCCGCTGTACGTCCGGAGCCACGCTGAGGGACTAATGGAGTGATTCGTAACATACACTGAGGTGACCGAGCTGAATTTGGCTCGACGTGCTGTACTTTGGTCAGAAGATGATTTCTTTCATCGAGCTGCTGCTGCTGCTTCTCTACCAGCTGCCTGCGTGCAGGAGGGGGAGTCTCAGTTCTGACTCAGAAGCACAGATCATGCCTCCGACATGCCTCACCCCGAGTTCCTTAGCCAAGGTAACTGTAGGAAACTGCCCGGGGCAGAACAACGGCTACACTGTGCCATAGGGATCTGAATTAAAATGACCCGTTCATAGAGAACATGGGCTGAATGCATACTTCTCTTTTTTTTGTAACACAGGAAGTTTTCTCTGTTTCATAATCATCTTAAATGTATTTTAGAAGCAGGTGATTCCAATAGTGCCCCACTCTCCCCTGCAGAAAAATTGTGCTTATTTTGTTTCTTGCTTGAAGATTATCAGCTCGATTAAGGGAGTCTTGTCCAGCTGCAGCTTCTCTGTTCTGGGACCCGAGCTAGCTCGCTCAAGTGGCGAGCACGTTCTGTGAGTGCAGCGTAGACCTCCACAAAGGGTGGAAGAGTTCACCTTGGGCCCTGCTTGGGTTGAAACCTTCCTAGAATGCATCTAGCACAGGATCCCTGACTCGGAACTTTTTCTGTGAATGAGACCCTTACTAGCTAGTAATGGGCCTAATGAAAACCCACAGATCCAAACATCCCTGAACTCTGGGAGGGTTTGGACCTGCTCTGGACCTACGTGGTGGAGACACTCCAGTGCTAAGGGTGCTGTAGACAAAATTAAACCCCTTCCCCTCCCTCCTGTAGTGCCAGCTTCCTCTCAGTGACTTTTTAACACAGTTCTTGAAAGATGGGGGATCTGGAAGAAACTGCATTAGAACTATGTCAGAAACACGTATGTACATGAGGAACAAAACTTTGATAGTGGACTCTTCAATCTAGCGGACAAAGATGTAGCATGATCAAATGGCAGGGAATTGACACTAGACAAATTCAGACTAGAAATAAGGGGCAAATCTTTAACATTGAGGGTAATTAACCACCGGCACAACTTATCAAGGGTTGTGGTGAAGTCTTCATAACTGACAGCTTTTAAATCAAGATTAGATGTTTCTCTGAAAGATGTGCTGTAGTTCAAAAAAGAATTAATCCAGGGAAATCCTATGACCAGTGCTATACAGGAGGTCAGATTAGATGATCGCAATGGTCCCTTCTGGCCGTAAAACACATAACAATCCTGCCTCATGCTGGCATCATCTGTAGTGTAGGCAGGGCTGTGAGCTCCCGCTGTCCATCAGGTTCTTGTTAAAATGGGCCCATTTCTTCTTGCCTGCCTGCAGGTCCTCTTCCCGACTATGTTCCCCCAGAAATCTTCTCCTTTGAGAGTTCCTCAGGCTTTACGCTGTATGGCATGATGTACAAACCTCACCACCTACAACCTGGGAAGAAATACCCCACTGTCCTCTTCATATACGGAGGGCCTCAGGTGAGTGCAGTGTAATAGAGGCTAATAGAAATACCTGCTAATTTTTGTCTCTTGTACTTACTGTTCCTGAGATGGGATTGTGGCGGGGATTGACCCTGACTGACCGTGAAACAGACTTAAAGCATTTTCTGTAACTTCATTTTACTGGTGGGGGAGAAATGCACAGCATCTTCAAGGTAGTAAGGCTGGAGGGATAAATCTAATGTGGGACCGCAGCCCTGCAAAATCACCATGAGGATTTACCATCCCAGGCACAAAATGATTCACCTGGGTCCTGGAAAACCCAATATTTCATATACCCTGGGAGCAGGGAAAAACTCTCCTCAGATGGGGGGGAGGGATAGCTCAGTGGTTTGAGCATTGGCCTGCTAAACCCAGGGTTGTGAGTTCAATCCTTGAGGGGGCCACTGTGGATCTAGGGCAAATCAGTACTTGGTCCTGCTAGTGAAGGCAGGGGGCTGGACTCGATGACCTTTCGGGGTCCCTTTCAGTTCTATGAGATAGGTATAGCTCCATATATGAGAATTTCGGAAGGCTGCCGTGCAGCAATGAACCTGATCTGTGACTCTCAAGGGGAAGATGGGGAGAACCGCTTGGCTCCTACCCCTGCAAAGGAGACCTCGGTACCTCTACACATGTGCATAAAGAGAGGTGCGAAGACAAGGGGCCTGGATTTGCCGCAGCCCCCACAATGAGGGGGTGAATTCTGTGTGTGGGTGACTTGAGCTGAGACACTGGGGACGGTACCAAACAATCCTGAATCAGATTAAGAGATGAGCAGTCAGTTCGGTAGTTTGTAGCCCCTGGCACTTATTTCCAGTGGTCTATCTGGTGTCGCTCGGTTAATATTTCCAGTTGTCTTTTTCCAGGTGCAGCTGGTAAACAATCGGTTTAAAGGAGTCAAGTATTTTCGCTTGAACACGCTGGCCTCACTGGGTTACGTAGTTGTTGTAATTGACAACAGGGGGTCCTGCCACCGAGGGCTTAAGTTTGAAGGTGCCTTTAAATACAAAATGGTAAGTGGTGGTATGTATGCCAGTGTCCCCACGTGGTTCTGAGCAATGCAGCCTGCTCCTTGGCTTTCAGATGGGGCGCCGGGGGGAGTGCAACTTGGTGTGTCATCCTACAGAGGAAGGCTAACGTGCTAGCTCGCCTTAGTGCTCTGGCAGTGATTCCAGTGCTTCTTACACAAAACTGTAGAGTGTTCCACTCCGTGGGCTTGTGAGGGGGGTGGACACATCCAACCGGTATGGAACTGGGGAGGAAAACGGATAGCGAGAGAGGATATAAAATATAAGGCATATAACCGCATCTGCTTCAGGGTATAAGCCAACCTCTGACATGGGTGAGTTAGTCCCTAACTTTCCATTGTGGTCTTTCTGAACCCGCTCCCGCTGGCCATGCAAAGGTGGGATACCGTCAGACAGACGATGGATCACTCCACTGTGGGGCTTAGCAATTCCTAGGGTCCTGTTTGTAGAGGAAACCTGCTCAGCCCCGAGCTCTGGAGGGGAAGGAAGTGCCATCTTTGTGTTGCTTTGCAGGGATGATATGCACATGTTTTGAGGGGGGCAGTTGTGCCAGTTTGATGCACAGAGCCAGAATCTGGCCCTAGATATTGTAGAGGAATTTGTCTCTTAGGTTAAGAAAGTCCCCTTTCCCCAAACAAGAACAACACAGACCAGAACACCACACTTATGAACATTTCCCATGGGGAAGCTGAGCGGGGTGGAGGGAATGTGTCCTTACATGTACTTACCTACATGTCCTCTGGGGAAGGGGCAATCCTTTGGTTCCATGTTTGTACAGCACCTTTCCAAATGGGGGCCCATTCCTGGAATGGGGCTCCTAGGTGGTACTGCAATAGAAATCATTCATCATAATGGGCAACGTTGATTGTGTTTTGGAAACTCTGAGAATCATACGTTTGTCAAGAACTAACAAAAAAAAAAATCTTTATCCAACAGGGTCAAATAGAAATTGACGACCAAGTGGAAGGGCTGCAGTATTTAGCATCCCAGTATGACTTCATTGATTTAGACCGAGTTGGCATTCATGGCTGGTCCTATGGAGGATACCTGTCTCTGATGGCATTAATGCAGAGGTCAGACCTCTTCAGGGTACGTTAATGTATCGTGGGCTTATCTCTGTGGCACAGGAAGGATGTTTCTTAATCAGATTATATCTCCATGTCCCATGTGTGTTTGTAGATACAAAGACTTTTGAACTGTAAACAGTGAGTGCTATGCGTGTGCAAAATAGTCTGTTTTTTATTTCACCCCAAGATACAAACAGTGGAGGGGCATAGGACATAACAAAGTTACCGCAAAGTAAATTTCCATTTCCAAAGTACATTTCTACCTGGTATGGGCTTGAAAATATTTCAATTCAAGCTTTTTGTACTTAGATATTTTTTTGAATGTAGACAATATTCACTACGTTATAAAATTATTGCTTTCAAATTCGAGGTACCGTATATTTTTAATCTGAGTTTCAGGATATATTACAGTAAACAGATATGACTCTGTGTGTGACCTTGAATAAGTCATTTTGTTTTACCGTCTGTAATACGGGAATGGTATGTTCCTATACTATAGCATATTGTGAATGTCAGTTAGTGATTGCAAAGCAGTTAGGCTTTGTTTGCTCAGAGATTTTGTCTCTGTATAACTGTTGGTTGCGGCGTGATATTTTTTTTTTTTTAACAGTTATAGTGATACCATTGCATCTCCTAGTGTGGACTCAGTTATACTGGTATAGCCACTTATTCCCCTTCCAATACAGGATTAGCTATGTTAGGGCTGGTCCACACTAACCCCCCAGTTCAAACTAAGATACGCAACTTCAGCTACGTGAATAACGTAGCTGAAGTTGAAGTATCTTAGTTCGAACTACAAGGTACTTACCACGGGTCCACACGCGGCAGGCAGGCTCCCCCGTCGACTCCGCGTACTCCTCTCGCGGAGCAGGAATACCGGTGTCGACGGCGAGCACTTCCGGGATTGATTTATCGCGTCTAGACAAGACGCGATAAATCGATCCCGGAAGATCGATTGCTTACCGCCGAACCCGGAGGTAAGTATAGACCTAGTGTAAAGCACCTATATACTGGTATAACTGTGTCCACACTAGGGATGTTATACATTTTATACTGGTATTGTTAAAGTGATGCTTCTGTGGGCACGTCTACCCTACCCGCCGGATCGGTGGGTAGTGATCGATCTATCAGGGGATCGATTTATTGTGTCTAGTGTAGACGCGACAAAATCGATCCCTGATCACTCTGCCATCGACTCCAGAACTCCCGCCGCGGCGAGAGGTGGAAGCGGAGTTGACGGGGGAGCGACAGCGGTCGACTTGCCGCCATCCTCACGGCCCCGTAAATCGACCCAAGATATGCCGAGTTCAGCTATGTGATCTTAGGTCGACACCCCCCCGCTAGTGTAGACCTAGCCTGCGTCTAGACAAGGCATTAGAGCAGGGGCAGGCACATTTTTTGGCCTGAGGGCCGCATAGGGTTTTGTAAATTGTATGGAGGGCCGGTTAGGGGAGGGGGTCGTGGCCCGGCCCCCACCTCCTATCTGCCCCCCCGGGACTCCTGCCCCATCCACACACCCCGCTCCCTGTCCCCTGACCGTCCCCAGACCCCCGTCGCCCCATCCAACCCCTCCTCTCATTCCTGACTGCCCCCCTGGGATCCCTGCTCCCCATTCAACCCCCGTGTGCCCCCCCCCAACTGCGCCGACCCCTATCCAGACCCATGTCCCCTGACCACCACCTCGAACTCCCCTGCCCTCTATTCAACCCCCCTTGCTCCTTGCCCCCTTACCACGCTGCCTGGAGCACCGGTGCTGGCGGCGCTACAGCTGCGCCGCCCGGCAGGAGCCAGGCCATGCCACCACCTCCACGCAGCACAGAGACCGGGTCAGGCCGGGCTCTGCAGCTGCGCTGCCCCAGGAGCTCACAGCCCCGCCGCCCAGAGCATTGCGCCAGTGACGGAGCGAGTGAGCTGAGGCTGTGGGGGAGGGAGGACAGCAGGGGAGGGGCCGGGGGCTAGCCTCCCGGGCCAGGAGCTCGGGGGCCGGGCAGGATGGTCCCGCAGACCGGATGTGGCCCGCGGGCCGTAGTTTGCCCACCTCTGCATTAGAGGTTCTTAGACGAAAGGTGCGAAAGAAGTGCAAAATACAATTATAATGATTGATTTTCATCTCAAACTAACAGTATGCATTTTGTTCTTTGTGGCTCTTCTTGCTTCATTGCAATGTGTAAAGCAGGCCTGAAAGACTTTTTAAAAATATTTATTTTACCTTAAAAAATATTTGCAATGTCAAGTCTCTTTCCTGGTTTTGTTGGCGGTCTTCCCTGGAGCATACTGACATGTGGCGTGGTAGCTATCTCAGCCCTTAACTGAAGAGGCTGGGGTTGTCAAATCCTGGAGAGCTTTTTCTTCCAGGTATCTGTCAGGCATTTGGTGGACGGAGGTATCACAGACAAAAACCAGACCTTTCACTGGTCTCAATGACAACCGCTTCCCCTCTCACTCAGGTTTCACTTCTTCAGTGTAGTTCCTTGTTCATCCAAAGGGCCTTCAAGGACAAACAGGGTTTGAATTTCTAATATAAGTCCTTTTCTACCCTGGGAGGGTTACACTGGTATGGCCATTCCAATATAGCTAATGCAGATGCAATTATATAGGTATAAAAGTGCTTATCCTGGTACAGCGTATGCTGGTTTGGGGAGCTGGTATAAGCCCAGTGGTGAAAGATCAGTCCCGCTCTTCCCACAACCGACGTAGCTATGGTGGTAAAACTTGTATGTGTAGACCAAGCCAAAGAGAGGCTTTTGGTGCCAGAGCCTTTGCCGGTATAAATGGTTGTAGAGCCATGGATTTCAATGGAGCCATGGCGAGTTATACAAGCGGGGTCCCTGGCCCTGTGTGCGTGAGGGGGAGGATGAGAGACGCTTTCCCCCCCTTTGCAGGTTGGAAAAGGTGCTTTGTGTTGGGTAATTAAATTACCATTGCTTTTTATTTTTGATTGGTTACCTCATTGCCAATGCCTTTCAGAGCAGGCTTTATCGTTGCATTGGTTTCTTTTCGGAGTTTACATAAATATCCGTGGGTGTTAGGTGCCTCCTTTGGGCGATCACAGTTGGACGTTGTCAGTAGCTGTGCTGCCTGTATCCCTTTTTTATGCCGATGATCCTGTTGGAACTTCCAGGTTGCCATTGCTGGAGCACCAGTCACACTATGGATATTCTATGACACAGGCTACACAGAGCGTTACATGGGACACCCTGATCACAACGAGCAGGGATATTATCTAGGATCAGTGGCCATGCAAGCGGAGAAGTTTCCTTCAGAGTAAGTTCAGTGCCCTCTCTCCCCGGCCCCCTGCCAGTGACATTCAAACCTACACCCACATTTTTATCTCCTAGTTCTTGGCAATTAAATGCTGAAACCATAAATGCCAGTATTAAAACACCACTTAATAAACTTGAATGAACATTTGCGTAATTACGGCCCTTCCAAGTAATCCCTTTTATACTGGCTGTAATTAAAGAATATCTCTTATGCATAAAGAAATGGCAGACATAACTTCAGTTATGTAATTAGCTTCTCAGTCTGAGCTGCATTGAACTCGGCAAAAAGTTGTATTTGATAAAAATGCTTTATCCTAGAGGTAAGGGCATATCCATATGTGTGTGTTTAGAATGCAAAGATATTGCTATGTCCTGCTAAAGAATTAGTGTCCAGTGGTGATTCGAGCACATATAAACCAATTTTAGCATCCCCTCTCAAAAATGTTTCTGGGGAGGTTAAAGTAGATATGCCAATATAAGGCCCAGTCCTGATTTGTATATGCAAAAAACTCCCAGGGAAGGAAAGCCTGGCATTGGAAGCCAGTGGTATTCCTTCCTGAGAGCAGTCTGCAGGATTGGGACATTGGTTTTGCAATGCTTAAACCAAAAGGAGTGTGTTTCTATGATTAATATTTTTGTAAGGGACTCGCACAGTTTGCAGAATGACTGGAAAATTCCAGGAAGCATCTAAATGTTTTTCTCCTGCCTTTCTCAGACCGCACCGTCTGTTGCTGCTGCATGGTTTCTTGGACGAGAATGTTCACTTTGCACACACAAGTATATTGCTGAGTTTTTTAGTGAGGGCTGGAAAACCATATGATTTACAGGTAAGTGGTTTCTAAACTGTCAGAATCTGGATATGAAAATGATACAGCTCTACTTGCGTTTGTGGTAGGCCTGAGGAAACCCAGACTGGAACACATGGAGTGTATTTGATCTGTTGTGGATCATAAACATCTAATGGCAAGACTGCGGGATTAAGAACCTACTCTAAAGACTGAATGTTTTTTCCACATCCAGCTCAAAATTAATATCAGGATGGGCAGTGAAGTATGTTAACATTCGGTTTAGCCATTTGGACTCATTTGTGTTTACACTCGCTGTGGATTTGGACGAGGAAGGAAGTAGTTGTAGGTTTCTTCCCACCAAGTTCTGTTCTAAAGATAAATAAGAATATTGTAAAAGGGAAACTTTTCCTTTGAGTGCTGGAATTTTGGGGTTTCAATCCCTGCGCCAAGAAGAAAACATAGACGTTCCCTAACCATGCTGCTTGGGGTGGCAGGCCAGACACATACCCAGCATCAACCTGCTTCTAGCTCTTCCCTCTCTCCCCTTCACCCTGCCATCAAAGAGACAGGGACAATTTTATTTGGTATTTTTTATTGCAACAAAAAATGTTCAAGTCACATATTGATCCAGCATTTTACTATAGAGACTAATGGTTTCCCTGCAAATGGGGTTCTCTAGATCCTGGGTTGCCTCCACCCTTCCTTTCTTTATTGCTACTTGGGAGAGGGGTGCTGAATCTCTCTCTCCTCCCCCCCCCCCCATTGTAACATGGAGGTCAGGATGTGGAAAGGGCCGAGAACCCCTGCTCTATATCAAACATTCTTCTCTAATCTCTCACACAGATCCTTGCACATCATTAACCCGTGTCAGATAGCTGGTTTCACAGCTGCTGTTAGCCAGTTGTGTGTGTTCATGACTCTTTATTTTCTATTTTAGATTTACCCTCAGGAAAGACACAGCATAAGGGTCCCCGAGTCTGGCGAGCATTATGAACTCCATCTACTGCATTATCTGCAAGAGAATCTTGGCTCTCACATTGCTGCACTGAAGGCAATGTAATTGTGACCTCTGTGGAACTCTGATACACTGGCTGCTTAACCAAATGAGGAAATTGATCTTTAGAGAAAATAGAACAGAATGTTGCATTTTGGTGCCTGCCACATCTGCACACACGCACACTTTTTTTTTTTTTTTTTTTTTTTTTAAGTAAACTAGGTGCCATACAAGGAAATTACAGTACAATGGCCTAATCATTTTTAAAATGGAAATAAAATCAAATGTCTGTGGCACGCAGCAGTACCATGCAAATTCTTTTGGAAGAAGCTGAAAATTCACTAACACATTTCCACCACACCATAGCTTCACCATTTGAAAACATTGAGCTGTGCGAGTCTAATTGATGTATTTTTTTACAGTGTGTTTCTCAGTTTCGTACAACAAGGTAATATTGGATGATTCGCTCGCATCATGGCAAAAATCTGTCTGGATGGTTACAACTTGGATAGCATTTAAAAATGTAATGTGTAATCGTTTATGCTTCGTGCAAGGGATGTCTGGCTCATTAGGAATTAGCTGCATATTAGACACATTATATAACCAGATGTTGGGGATAATTATTTTTAAAAAGAAACACTTTTAGCTGCCTCCTGAAGTTTATAATTTGGTTTTAACTAAGATCAGGCCAGTTTTTTCAGTGAGCTCATCTCTGTGTAGTACAAATCTTGCTGCTTTTTTCTTTTGTAGTGTGATAAACAGTTTGCACCTGATTTCACACAGGGAGGTGGAAAATGTATTTTACAATAACATGGGCAGAAGAGTTAGCCTTGTATGCTGAGAAGCAAACTAGTTTTAAGCCAAACAGCTGAAACTTTGTATATTTCTCATATTTTAAAAATACAGCCTATTCCCATGGACTTTTCACCCTATGTGCATTTTGGGGCTGTTTTCGAAATACTTTCCTATCTCAGCAGGTGGGTGTATAAATATTCCCCCACTAAGATTTTAAAATTCCAACACCCAAGTGCAAGTGTCCACTGGGGAGTTGGTAAGATGGGGCCTATCAACACTACATTGAAGCAATGCAAATTGTGTTTTACTAAATTTTTTGTTGTCATTATTCTAGCATTATTCTCAGATCACTGTTGAGAAAGTTTATTGTCCTAGTCACCCTGCTCCCCTATATATACATATACATACACAGACTCCATCACCCTTGAGTCGTCTCTAGCACTGCGGTGTCGCATGGTCATATGCTGTCCTCCGAGAGAAACCCTTGTCTGTGTTGCCTAAGGTAATGCTGCTAGAAGCTAGCACCCTGCAATATTAAAATCACATTAAAGCACGATTTTCTTTGCTAGTGTGGTTTTAACTGTGATATGGACTTGGCTGAAAAACGTGAAGTGTTTGAAAATACTTTTAACTTTCAAAATGTTATTTAAAATAGAACTCCATAGTCAGATTATTACTTTTAAACCAGAAAACTCTGCCTGGGGTTTCTGTGTTAGCTTCCCATAATTTTTAGGTACTTTCTTTTAAAAAACCAAAAACTTTTTCCCTTCTATTTTGATGCTACAGAGGGAGAAGCAGAGCAAGATTCTCTTTTCATCTTTTGAAATCTGGATGCCCTGTGGCTTGTGTTCCTACTTGAAATACCCCAAATATTGTAAGAGACAGCAGAATCAGGTCCATTGGCTTATGCTAAAGGTAGTCAAAGCAAACACACTTCCTGTAAGCATACACCTCCCCCCCCCCCCCCCAATTATTCTGAATTGGACTGATGATATTTAAAGTCCTGTAATTTATACCATCAGCGTATGGAAAATAGGTTTATAGGTTTTTATTTTGGGGAACTGGGGGGAATGGAAGGAGCCCAATACCTACACTGTCTTCTCTGTACCAACAATAGCTAATTATTGTAACTGAAGTGAATTCCCTTCAGAAAAAGCGGGCGTTTTCAGCCATCCTATGGCATGTGCTGTAGTTAGTATTTACAGACAAGCTGGTACATTGATAAGCTTGAAGAATAACAATGTGCCAGTTAGTATAAAAACTACAAATTTGTTACTATGGTATCCCACCTGGTTCTTTACGTATTTATGCTGTAGTGTATATATACATATATCTATGGGCATGTCTACACAGCAAAAGAAAACCCAGGGCAGCAAGTGTAACAGCCCAGCTGAACTGACTCAGGCTTGTACTGCAGGCTAACAATAGCAGTGTGGACATTCAGGCTTTGGACTCTGGGACTCGCACCGCAGGTTCTTTTGTTGCTTTGTAGATGTCCCCTGCATCGGTCCGTATATACGTATATGTATAAAATAACACGTGGATGGTATCACATTTTCCAAGGTTGTTTATATTTTGTTCAATGTTAAATTAACTGGCGTTTGGGGGTGTATTTTTGTTCCTCCTCCAGAGATTCTCTCTTGAATATAAATGTATATGATTCTGAAGTAAAAATCGATTCTTTTGTACAAAACGGCCTCTATGGAACAGTGCTTACAGCAAAGGAGGCATTAAATGCGATTCTGGTAATCAAATCTAGATTTTGGTTTAGCACTGAACATAACATTGCTTACATGTAACTTTTTAATAATGCATTCGCTCTTTATTTTAAATATATCTTATATATATATCAGAAAACTATTAAAGTACCAAGTATGTACTCTGTTTTGCAACATAAATTATGTTTTCCTTTTCTACAAAAATAATTTCCTTTACAGCTCTCAGGCACTTTAAAACTCCATGTTTTCTTTCCTTGTGGAAATGCTGGAAGGATTTACTATCAGTATTTCAGAGTTCTGTACAAAGAGTGCTTGCCACATGTAACGGTAATGAAAGGTATATCCCATAGGGTCTGATCCAGCTCCCATTGAAGTTAATGACCAAACTCCTGTTGATTTAAAGGGGCACGATCAAGTCCACAGGGAATGAGCACTGCCTTGTGAAAAACCAAGTGTGAGGCCATCAGTAACTCTTAAAACTGGAAATGCTGCTCACTAAATAAGGATATTATATCCTGCTTGGTCTCGGTGGGACAAGCCACAGCTAAGATCAGCAGTTCTGCACCTATTGCCAACTGTAAGCCAGTCTTTCTATGCTACAGTATCAGTCCGGAGTACTGTGTATGATGGCAGTGTTACTGCAGTATCAGTCCGGAGTACTGTGTATGATGGCAGTGTTACTGCAG